TTTTATTGCCAGATGGAAATTTATTTTGGATATGTTGACACATAACAATTAAAAAGGGATCCTATGTACTATGTAAGAAGGTTTTTCAGTTAATATTGACAGCTGTTTCTTCTTATTGTTCTTGAACTTCCTAATCAGATTCTTGCTAATTATGATGAACTGTTGAGCTTTAATGTTATGTAGTATATTGAAGAAAATATGAACTAGTTCTGCATAAACAAGACAATAATAATAATAAAAAAACAACCTATAACTCTTTTTAAAGTCACTCTGATCTTTGAAAGATCACTCTATGATCTTTGAAATCATATTTTAATACCTTCAGTATGGGAAATTCAGCGTGCAGTGGAAAATGTATCTCTGTTTTCTTTTCTCAACAAAGAGAAGGCTATTATTTTACTTATTGTTACTTATCTTAGATATGCCACTGTAGTTTACTTGAGAAGAGTAAAATAGCAAACTGTGCTTAATTAGCAAATGCAGCTATGGTGCTTGAGGTAGCAGTAGTTTATTAACACTGCTCTAGAATATAATTTAGCAAATCTGGATGTTAATGCATGTATATTTCTTTTGTTATTTGTCTTTCAGAAAATACAGTATTTTTAATTTGTAAGGGAACATATGAGGAATGCGGTGGCTGTATTTGGTTTACACTCTTTCTTTCACAGGGTTAGATCGAAACAAGTTAATTAATTTGGCATACTTGCTTGGAAGTGACTACACTGAGGGAATCCCAAATGTTGGCTTTGTAACAGCGATGGAGATCTTAAATGAATTTCCTGGACATGGATTGGAACCTCTTCTAAAATTTGCGTATGCTTTGCTGGATTTTATTGTTTTTCTTTCATATTTTTCTGTATTTTCTGGTCAATATACTTTCTGCTCTTAAGTATACAACAAAATGTGTGACCATCATCAAGGAGGCTAACTGAACTATAAAATATGTAATCCGTTGTATCGGTACTTGAAATGGCAGGTAATCAAAACGATGTGTTGATGCAGCAATTACAGCAAGACTAGTGAAGACAATAGAACAGCTTTAAAACTGTGCAACTGCCTCCAAGTTCATTGCAGAGCTGGATCCCTAGTGGAGCCAAGGTTGTTTCTCCCTGAGCATGTGAGAAGGTGCTGTAGCTTGCCCATAGAGAAAAGAGACTTGATGACCTGGAAAGAGACAGACAGGTAGGCTGTGGGGAAGAACAAAGTTTGAATTGTGCCAAGCCAATTGTATTGGCCGTTGTGAGAATCACAGACTCCTAGAATCTTTTCGTTGGAAGGGACCTTAAAGATAATCCAGATCCAATTCCCCTGCTGTACACAGAAGCACCTTCCATTCCTGGAGACATTCAGGGCCAAGCTGGATGTGGCTCTGGGCAGCCTGGTCTAGTCGTTGGTGGCCCTGCACATAGCAGGGGGGTTGAAACTGAATGATCTTTGAGGTCCTTTTCAACCCAGGCCATTCTATGAATCTGTGATGCCACTAAACCAGGTTGCTCAGAGTGGTTAGAAGTTTGTTTTTTTGTGGTTAGTGTTTGTTTTTTTGATCTCTGGTTTTTATACCAAAAACACTCCAAAGAATGATTGTTACATGTGGGGTGTCCTTCCCTTTGGCTTCTAAAGTGGAATCCAGGTAATGTTTGCTACCTTGGCTGACAATGGCTGTGTTTACTGTATGTCTTGTCCTTTTTACTTTCAGATTCTTATGCCCTTTTGGCCATTATCATTTGAAAATCTCCTATCTCATATCTTGCAGTAGCTGAAGTAGGGAGTCTGATTAAAGCCATTTAAGATAACAAAGTGGCTGTTGGCAATTCAAGTTACATTTTATGGGAACAAGTGAATACTTTTCTCTGTTTTTCAGTGAGTGGTGGAACGAGGCTCAGAAGAATAAGAAAATCAGACCTAATCCACGTGATACCAAAGTCAAGAAGAAATTGCGGGAGCTGCAGCTTTCTTCAGGTTTCCCAAATCCAGCAGTGGCAGAAGCATACCTGAAGCCTGTGGTGGATGAGACAAGGGGCTCATTCACGTGGGGAAAGCCTGATGTAGAGCAGATTAGAGAATATCCTTTTACTATAAGACAGGAATTGCTAGCTAAAAGTACTCAGCTTAAAGTTCATATGGCTAGCTAGTGCCTCAATAACAGAGTGTTAAATTCTTAGCATCTCACTGGTGTGATGGACCTCCTTACCCCCATCTAAATGTACTTTCCTACACTGATACTAACTCTGGAATTGAAAAAAAATGTAGATATATGTACATGGCATTTGAGGCTGTGCTGCCCTTCTGCTTCACTCTGACTTACTGGTCTTACTGCTGAACTGACTAACTTGTGACATTATAATTCTATAACTGTACTGTCACAAGTAGATTTCAAAACCTGTTTATTCACCACATTCTTTGCAATAATGCCATTTCTTGCAGCAGTTGTAGCTTGAGCTGCAGTGAATTGTTGAAAAGTGATGGCAACGCATACAGAGTTAATAGTGTTTTAAACAGTAAACCAAAATTCCAGTGTTTGTAAATGTAAAAATAAGGTTTATTTATAGATGTTGTGTTTTATGACAGTGCTGCATATCCAAAATGCACTTTTTCTTTATGAAGACATGCTTTTGGAAATGCTGATGTTAGAGTTCTGTACCTAACAGAGATGTAATGTCATGATGGAAATACATAGCGTAACATTAGAATCATCCACATAACTTGGCTTTAATAACTTAAGATATTTTCTGTTTTTGTAGTAGTAAAATCTCTGAAGAAACTTTCCTCTAGGCATTGGTTATTTGCGGAATTTCTATTTTTGTGTTTACAAAATAGTAGCAATAGCCATTTTTGTTCCTTAGCTTTCTGCATATTCTGTAAAGATCACTTTGGCTGGACTAGGGCAAAGACAGATGACATCCTTTTGCCTGTGATAAAACAGCTGAACTTGCAACAGGTATGGTACAGAGCAATGTATACCTTAAGGCTAGCTGGAAAAATGTAAGAATCATTTTGAAATGAACAGCAAGGCTATATGTTTCTCAGAAACTGGGATTTGGACATTTTATATCTTAATGTATATTTATATTTTAAAATCTTTAAATGATTCTCTAGATTTTATTTCTTTATGATCGGGTTTATTGTGAGGCATTCTACTTAATTTCAGTGGTTGCAATTTTCATAGTTGATACAAAGCTTTATCACGTACCTACCTCAAATCCAGGTTGCAGGACATAAATAGAACTACAAGTACCTCCAGTACATTTAGTGCTTTTAAAAGACACTATATGGAATCTTAAAATGATTCATAAGAATGCCCCTAAGATTTTAGTGAAGATTTTAAGTGGAATGGACCATTGAATACCACACTCATTCTGTAAGAGGAAGTGCGGAATGAAGCATTTATCAAGAGCCCCTTTATAATATTATTGTTCTTCACCAATAAATGTGCTTTGAACTTTCATACAACTTAAAAGTGAATAGTGGTGCATGCTGTGATACTCTGAAAGTCAGTGATAGAATGGTTTACTCGTATTCTTTTCTTCTGCTATCAATGAGATATAGTCTACACCAATCTTTTAGGCTCTCTCTGTCAGTCAAAGGAGTGAAAAGTACCACAAAACAGGTTAAATCCATATACTTTCAGACTGACTAGAGCAACCTGTGGAAGCATCTGTCTCTTAGCCAATTTTATGGATAATATAGAGGACTAGCATAGTTTGTACAGCAAGCCTAGTTGTAGTTAACAGATTCATTGTGTTTGACTTCTAGTTCTACTCTCAAATCTGTAGCAGCACGTGATACAATTCCATTCAAATGATAGCATTTTGTTGCAGTAGCGTATGCAGATACAAAGTGCACTAACAGTATCCCCTTAATAAACATTCTGTTGTTTTAACAGCTTGCAGCTTAGCACTTTTTTGCAAGGATATACTGAAGAACACTACAGAGATTCTCTGTATCAGGTTTTAAAATAGAACTGTGTTTCTACGTAAAATCACACGTGCAATGTTAATGAAAAAGTTCACTCATTTTGCCCTTAGTTTCTATCAAAGTTCTCATTGCATAATTTATAATAAAGTGCAGTTATTACTGGAATCATGCATCTTATTATCTGTGTGCATTCTGATTTCGTTAGTCTTTATCCTGCTTTAATTTATAATGCTTTGTACTATAACTTAGGTAACAACTAACTTTCTGTCACAAAAGCATCCAAAGCTGTTTCACTGTTTTTGTTGTTGTTGTTGTTTTGTTTTTTAATAGACTCAGCTTCGAATTGATTCGTTCTTCAGATTAGAACAACATGAAAAACAAGCTATTAAAAGTCAGAGACTACGCAGAGCTGTGAGTTGTCTAAAGAGAAAGGAAAATGATGAAGTTTCAGAGGCTACTGCTGCTATGGAGGAAGAACTTAGTCAGCACAAGGAAAAGAAAGGGGAAAGTGCTTCAGGCTGCACAGATCATCAAGGCATAGTGACAGAAATTCAAAGTGGAAAGAAAAGAAGGCATTCAGATTGCAGGAAAGTGCATTTATTTGGAGGTGGTTTTGTTGGGAGTTTGCATCTTTCAGAAACTTCTAGTGACTCCTCAGCAGAAGAATCAGAAAACAGAGATTTAGACAAAAGAAGGAAAATTGCCTCTAAAACAGAGACAGCAGACCACAAAAAGAGCTACAGTAGCTCAAGTGGTGAGGATGAAGAACTGGGAAACATGATTTTGGTGACTGCCAAACCTGTATTTAAGGGCAGAAAACAAAAATCACGGAGTAAGGGAGGAAGAAAGAAGAGGAGGTCTTAAAGGAAAGAAGTCATAAAAAAGCAGATTATGTAAATGGGCTTTATTACTTAAACTCTGTAAGTATTCTGATGATTTTTTTGGTATAAAAACAATAAATTATCCTTATTAATCATGCATTTGTCATGAATTGTCTTTGTGTCCAGAATTTAAATAGGGATTTTAAACAAGAAAAAAAAATACTTTCATCACAATTGCTCATAAAAGCTGTATGCTGGACTTAATGTAACTATAAGTTTAGGCCCAAAATTGTATCTATTCATTTGCATTCTCACTGAGATAAAATAGCTATTAAAATCACATGCAACCTGTTGCACCCTGAACTTCACACTTATATAAAACCTTAATGACTTAATTTATTTCTAGGTATTGAGAGAAAGAAAATAAGTTCTATTAGTCTCGGTTCCCTTATTCTCTGCATCATGCCTGCTCAAAGTATAATGTTGATTATTGAATCATTTATGGTACAACATTAACCATCATAATATGTCATGGAAAATAGTACAGTAGAGTAAATTTGATAAGCAATTATAGATTGTATGTTCTGAATGTAAATTACATGTTAGACGTGGAATTATTTGAGCGTAGCCACAGACAGCATTTGTTTCCAAAAGTGATGCTCAGAAGTAGTATGGAGTTTTTCTTACAAGTCCCTTAGATTTTGCCTTAGAGCATTTATGTGGGCGTGTGTGAAATATTTCCATTTGCTTTCCTGCCCAAACCCTTTGGCATATCAGTTGCTCCTTCTGAAACTGTCTTAATTCAAGCCAGATTTTTTTCTTTATCCTTATATCTCCACACAGCAGGATTCTGTCAGCCTGCACCCCACCCTCTACCCAGCACTTCCCTGCCCACCCTTGCTTTAGTTTCATCCTTGGGGAGGATTTTATTAAAAGTGCAGGGGATTCTTCCTGGAAAACTACTTTCTTGCTAGTGCTTCAACAACCCAGCATACAGATCCACTGGTTGCAGCACTCTTGTCAGATTATTTTATGAGATAAATAATTTGCTAGATCCAGACTTTCTTTTTCTCTCACCTCTCTCTCTGATTATAGAACTTATTTATAGCTCCTGTGGGTTAAGATGGAAAAACAGCGATTGCTGCCAATCACACACATGTTCTTACATTACATTTTAGTCCTTTTTGCTTTTTGATCTCTCAGTTATTATTTTTTTTGTAATTCCTCACTGTTTCATTGCCTGAAAGTCAAAGTCCATGCAGCTAAGTTGTGAAACATCAGCCTTTCCTGGAAGGATGAAGGGTTGAGGTTCACTAGGTAGGATTTGGTCCTTCTAGCTGCAAAGAGTCTAATGTATAATGGAGTGTTTTCTGGGTGAAAAATATCCCTTTTTCTGGGTGAAAAATAGTACTTTCGTAAAAGATTGTCACATTATAAGTATATTCTCAGTCTGGACAGCCAGTTTACAGCTTTATTTTGCAGATTACTTGAGTGTTGCTGTTTTAACTTTAAAGGGTAGATTAGGCCTTGTTTAATAGCTTCTAGATGTAGAAATATGATAAGATACATCTTTGATTTCTGTAAGGCTTGTTCAGTATTCTTGTATAATAAATTATTATTCTATGTCACCAAGAAACATCAGCTGAGGTTAAAATTTGGCTGAAAAGTGGTGAAGTAAAGAGGTAGTTTCTATCCTGAATAGATTGTATTCTAAACAAAGAGAGGTCTTAAAGTTACCTCCATTTGTTCCAGTGGCACTAAGTGATTGCAGTCTGCTGAGGAAATCTACATCTTGTTTATGTGGAAAGAGGAGTGATGCATTTATATTTATGTACGTTGACAGCTGTCTGAATTGAATATTCAACTGTAGGTTTTGTACCTTGCTGCTGCTCTGCATTTTTTTTATGAGTATGTGTTTGCATATGCACAAAATGCACTCCTGTTTTGTAAATTGGCCCTTTGTGCTTGGAAGAAGCCTTTGTCTGTAAAGAATTACTTTTTGTTCTTCAGTTACTTTTTAGTGACAATGAGAAGTTACTAAAACAACCTTGCTACTGTCTTGTTACTGCCAAAACTGTTTGGAAATTGGTTACTTTTTTGGTTGGAGCTCCCCTAACTAGGTACCTACTGCTGTTATGAGATCTTCTGTGCCCTTACATAAAATAGCCATGGTGCCTTGTGCCTACTTTGGGTTCCTGCTGCAGCTGTCAGGATTTATTACTGCTGCTGGTGTGGGGATGTTGGCAATATGTAATGCACACTTCAGAACTTTTCTATCTGGAACTGCCTGGCAGCTAACTGCGAAGCAAACAATTTGACAAACAAGGATTTTTGTTGAGTGTGATCACCAGGAAGATAGAAGCAGAGATTTAGGTAATGTTAACTGAAACACAGTCAATGTGGCTTGCTGTGTGTTTTACTCCAATTATTTTCTATCATTTGCCTTTCACTCTGTAAGTCAGTAACTGAACTGTTCTGCACCTGTGTGTTTTTAGCTGCTGGTAGTACTACTGAATTAATATGCTGAAGTCAGACGGGTTGTGTAGTTCTGTATAACTTAGAGTATTTTTGGAAGGGGAAAAGAGTGCACAGAACTAAAATAAATAAATAAATAAAATAAAAAATTTCCTTTAAGACTGATTGATCTTACAGTACAGCATTGCTTGTACTTCAGAATACTGAAGGACTGATAATCAACCCATTACTTTCATCTTCTAAATAGGAAGAAAAGTTGTCTTTTTCATACTTCTGAAGTAGATGATAAGCAGATGAATGTCTGTAACACTGCTTCACACTCATTTCTAATGCTCCTTGGTGTTCTGAATATAGACTCAATGATTTTCAGTTCTACTCAGCCTACCTTCTCTGTTTCCCACATAATGTTGTTACTATTGCAAAGTTCATAGATAAACATAAATGCAGTAGCAGTTTTTTTGTTGAATGTGCTGCAGTACTGTGTAAAAGCCAGCTAATTTACTTTTCACCTTGAAATAGGTTAATGCCTGCTGGCACTGCTGCGAAAAGTTTTAACCCCTCTGCCTTTTGTAGAGTAACATTAGCAGTGTATCATGTATGCTTTCTAACAAGACAGGGTTGTTCTGTGCTATTCACTCATCCTATGAGTGAATCCTTTTTTGATAATAAAGCACCAAGAATTTGAGAACACTGGTTGTCTGATTTTCTGCAGATGCTGAACATCGAGTTGTTCTTTTTATATCACACTATGCTGCAGCTTCTTGTTTAAACTTTGCCCAGTCATGCTTTCCCTATTACATTTTTCTGTGTATGTTCTGTATCTGTACATTTGCACATACGTGTTCTGTTTTGTGTATTGTTAATAGGTCCTGCTTCCTACTTGTGTACCACTTTTGCTAATTGGTTATTCCCTTCCTTTTCAGGCTAAATCAAACTACATGAGCTGGTACAATTTTTCTTTTCCTTCAGAAATTAGCTGCTACCTTCCCATTCAAATACTCGTAAGCCTTCTAATCTTGATTTGAATTGATTCTAATTTTTAACCACTCATAAAATAATTTTAAACATTTATCAAAGCATTCTTTTTCCCCAATGTATGTTTTTCCCTCTTTGAGAGTAGAAAGCTAAACTTGCTTGCTACTTCTGACTCTTGAATGCTCTGATATTCATATTTGTACATCTTAATACAAGTAACATAGCATATCAAATGCAAACTCTGCATGTTGTTTAGATGTTGCATTGGGAAAGAGGATGTAAAGCAATTTTATCCATTTTTAGCAGGTAGGCAGGCTTGTGCTTATCTGTCGGTGGTCTTCTGGCTTAGTATGGATTTGACATCGTCACAACATAATCATCTGAATAATGAACAGAGAAGAAAATTAGAAAGACAAGCAGGTAAAGTGTGTATTATTCTTTTCTTGTTATGCTCAGGAATTCTGTTAAGTAGAAGGAACAAGGCACCTTGCTGACAGTGAGCTATCTTACTTATTTCTCCTGAAGAATTGTGTTTATGGCACTTGTAGAGAAAATGCAATAGATAGCGCTGTTGTAATATTCTAGCTATGTAGTAAATAACTGCTATGCCAGCAGTCTTTGGTATGGTGATTTCCTACCAGTGTCTGCCAACTTGCCGCAGCTATTTGCCTGTGACTAGTTCCAGGGAATGAAACTGTGGCTATGATTGAGCTATTCAGAATAAGTTTGTTTGTGGAGTGACAGTTAGGCAGGATCAGTTATTACAAGCCCAGTTTCTGTATAGATAGCCTCACAGCTGATCTTAACAAGGACTGTTAGCAACTTTAGTTTTTTTTTTTCCTAAATAGATCTTAAGCTGCTCATTTTCAAGATCCAGAAACATCAGGAATAGAAGAGATTTGATTGAACTGAGATTTAAAGCAAAAATGTCCCCAAAACATTAGTGTTGCCAAAACAACTATGCATGCACATTGCTTTTAAATTTCTTGTATTAAGTCTGAAAAGACTGGGAAGGGCAGAGGAGCAAGAGGGGAATCCCTTTCTTTCAGAAGCTTTCTGTTAGTGTCTGGAGGGGCTTTTTGTTTCCCTTTTTCTAAGTCATCATATACATTACAACTGAAGGGCTAAGAAAATTAAGCACCTAAAATCATAATCTTCTCTAGAAAGCTGATATCACACAAGAAAGCAGCTGATAGAGTTTGGTATCGATTGCAGTTACAAAGTCCCTGTTTTGCATGCCCTAATCTGGAGAATTTCTTTAATACATTTCCCTTTCCTATTATGTAATCCTGACTTCAATGAAAAGCTCAAGTTGATCCCACGTGTGATGAGGCATGATTGGGGTAAGAAATATTTAGAAGTATTAATATTAAATACCAAGCCATTAAAGACTGAAATATTGATGACTCTTATTACACTGTACACAAGAAGACTGAGTTCCAGTTGCACAGGCATTGCTATGCTTCTGCAAGTTTGGCTTTCTAATACTGATACTTTCTTCATGCAGGATTTAGGGCAGGGAGCAGTGAGTCTGCATGTAATTACTTAAGCTTTTGAATTTTTAAAATAAATTGAATTCTGGGACATAAGATTGATTTATGCAAAATTAGTAGGTAGCACAGGATCCTTAAATACAGAAATATATTCCTTTTAGCCAACAAACTTGATAGCAGGTTGCTCACTTCTTTCTAGTAACTCTACTTAAAGAGGACGAAGAGACACCAATAGAAAATGGCACATCTTTGGAGTTTCACAGTTTATCAGCATCAGGCTTTAGCACATCAAGTTCCATTTCATATTCTGGAGGCAAGTGTGTTGAACCTACTGCATGGAGAATTACTGCTTCAGTGCCCTCAGCCTGTACCTTCCTTGTCCTCATTTTCCTCTGCCACATTCTCCATTCCCATTTTATTCACTTCGTCCATCCAGACTCAATCTCTGTTTCTTAGGATTCTTGGTCCGTTTCAGTGTCTGAGCTCTTTGTATTTGCTGTTCCACCACCCTGTTCTCCTTTTATTCACTGTCATTCCTTCACAAGGTTCTGTTATCTCCATTGGCTTGTCACAAGTTCTCTAGATTAGAACTCCTTATCACAGCTCATGATTACCATTACTACCAGGTTCCAATTTACAGGTAGATCCTCACCTGGTCTGATCTTTCCTAGTCCCTTTATCCAATCAGTTCTCCAGCACACCTGCATCATTAATATCTCTTTTCTTTCCTCTCATGACTTCTCTTTTTCACTAGCTTTTACTCTCCTTTGCTGAACTTTTTCTGAGATCAGACTGTACCACTGCTGCCTTTGTTTCTTAGGACCTGAAATTACTTTGCAAGTTTTATATTATTTACATTCACCCCGAAATAATTTTATCTCTGAGACAAAAGGAGAAGAGCAAGTTTGCAACTTGTCCTTGACACTTCATCGTCTCACTTTACTTGGCTGGGGCCCAGTTTTTAATCCAGAAATATCTGAGAAAATGCTGACCTGGTAACCTTCACATATCTTCCAGAGCTTTATAACAGTCATGCTCCTTCTCTTCCCCTGCTCAACAGATGTCCTCATTGATGGTGATTCCTGTCATCATTTCAAGTCTGGGTGAAGTCCAGAAAGATACCTTAAATGGGACATGGTTGGAATTGAGGCAAGTGGGAACCAGCCTAACCCTGTAACTTAGAAGTTAAGAAGTTAAGCTGGGATGAGGGAGTGACTTAGTGTCTTATTTCCATTTCCTGGGTTACTTCTAAGGACGTTTCTTACCTTCATCTTCTCCTTTTGCTGCAGACCCTTTTCCCCTGACTTCAAAGACTTTTCTAGAAAGGAAAAAAAATCCTTGGACTGGACTATAGAGCCCAAGTCAGACTATTCACAACTGAGTGTCCAGTTTCTAGCTTGGCTTTTCCTTGCTTGTTATTCTTCTGGACACAAATCTCATAATTCTTATTTCCTTATGACCCATCTTCAATGGTGGTGGAAGGGAGGGGATCCACTTAATTCTGTAGAATTGATAGATGTGTGCAAGAAGTGAATTTGACTTTTTCTAAAGAAGGCCCAAAACTCAATTTCTCTGCTCTCTGAGTGCTTAAAATGCTAAAAGATTCTTTATAGTGGACGTTGCAATTAGCAGAGCTGGTTAAAAAGCGAACTTACTTCTACTACTGCCACCTGTGTTCTCTTCTCTCATTTTTGACCTGGGCAGGCTGGGAAGTTGTGTAGAGTGGAACCTTATGAAGGCAAGTGTAAAATCCTACACCTGGGGAGGAATAACTACACACATCAGTACAGAGGATGGAGATGGAGAGGATAAAGAGGAACTCTGTAGAAAAGGGCCTGGGTGTTCAGATGGGCTACACATTGGCCATGAGCCAGCAGTAGGGCCTGGTGACCAAGAACATCAGTGGTCAAAGCAGGTCAAAGGAGGTGATCCTCCCACTCTGCTCTGCCCTGGTGAAGCCACATCTGGAGTACTTTGTTCAGTTCTGGGCTTCTCTGTTCAAGAAAGACAGGGAACTTCTGAACAAGGGGGAGCAGACAAACTGGAACACTGTTAAGGACCAGATGGGATGTGACAAACGTAGAAAGCATGAGGAAAGGCTTCTTTACTTTGAGGCTTACAAAACACTAAAAAAAAACTACCCAGAGACTCTGTGTAATCTCTGGAGATATTCAAGACTCACCTGAAATCTTTCCTATACAACCTACTGTAGGGAACCTGCTTTAGTAGAAGGGTTGATGATCCCCAGAGATCCTTTCTAACCCCTTCAATTCTGTGATTCTGTGATTTTTTTTTTTTCCCCTTAGTTTGAGTTATGTTTCTATCTTAAAGAAATCAAAACAAAAAACAAACCCCTAAAACAACAACAATTAAAAAAATACCAAACACAAACAGAAACAAAAAAACTTTTTTCCATTAACTGTTATCTCAGAAATATTTTAAAAAGATATAAAAGCAGTACGTTTGGAAGTCATGTCATTAGTTAACAATATTCTACGGCTTTGCTGCAGGATCAACCCAAAATATCAGAACTCAAATTTTATTCCTCATAGCTGACATAGCTAAATTTCAACAATTAATGAACTATTTCTCTGTGACCTCACAAAAAGCTCAAATATTGTCATGGATTGATGTTGTTGGGTAACTTTCAGGTCCTTTCTTCAAAGAAATATTTTAGAAACTTGAAAATATTGATAGGGAAAATTGGCAGACATTATGTTGGAGTCACTTCTGTTGCATTGTTACATGGATTCTTCTGGCATACTGTTAGAAGAAAATATGAACTTCCAATGACACGAGGCCTTTTTGACCAGGCAAGATAAGAAATGTGGAAGATGATGTTAGTCAGTAGTGTCTAAGTTACTCATCCAGATTACTCCTAATCTATCAGAAAATTTTCAGTCACCCTTTTATAATGCAGAGCAGAGCAAATAACATGGAAAAAAGCCTACTTTTGCAGTCAAAAGGAAATCATTTAGTTATTATTAGAAATTATTATAGGTGCTGAGCACAGGCCTGCAGATATTTTCAATGACAGACAAACATGGTTATGTAATAAGTAATGGGTACATTTGAATTTATTATATGTTCATGAGGTAGTCTGACCACAGTACTTCTATTTTCAGCTTTCTAATGGTTTTAGATGACCCATGACTTATATGAGGCTGCAATATCAGTGACATGAGTTTCATGTTGAGAATGCACCTCTAAAACCTGGATAAATCCATTACTGGAGAGCGTAGCCTTTTCTCATCTCCTTGCACTCTGTACTAAGGGCATTTTGCCTCTTGGCTGAGATTAGGCTGCTCGTGGGTTACAGTTTTGTATTTCTACATTTCCAAGTATGAAGTTTCAAGCATTATATTACACTGATGTAATAAATCAGATTAATCTATATAATATAACTTGTCCTTGCCATCACTTCAGCGGGTACAGCCTGGTCATCACCACCCTCATATGTAGGCATGAAGACAGGAAAAATTAACTTGGTAGTTTAGATTAGTGATTTTTCTTGATTGATATTTTGATTTATGTTCTTAGAAAGGTGCAGGTTTGGAAGGTCAAGGGGATGGTTAAATTTCCCTCCTGTTCCCTTCCTTTCAGGGTCCTTAGGCTGCAGTGGATTGGAATGAAATAGAAATAGATGGATGGAAATGAAATACTGAAGTGATGTCACCTGGAATTTGGGGACTGTTCTGTGATTCAAGATTGAATATGTTTCCATGGAGCTATCTGTAATGTTTACAAGACGAGGACTCTGACTGCGAGACATCAGTAACTCAGTAGAAATTATGAGGCTTCAGTGTCCCTTAGAAGTACAGGCTAATGTAGTTCTGGGATGAAGTTCTTCTGGGCCCTTAGAAATGCCCAGATGAATTTGCAGGGCTACATTTTGAGGTTTTCCATCAGTATAGTAATGTAGCTTTT